AGAACTAATAAGAATGGTGTCCAGTAAGCTTAAACTCAGAGTTGAAGTTGTGAATAAATGTTAGGAGAAAAGACTTAAAAAAAAAAAAAAAAAAAAAAGCAAAGAAAATACAGGTAAATTTTTTGAAACAGATGCTATAGTATTCACTAGCTACATTGAGAAAACATTTATTCATTTATTCAACAGTGAATTGGTCTGTTTGCTAAGCTGTTTAATTTCTGGGTTTTTTCTGTCAAGGAAAATGGTTTGACAGGAATTGGAAAGACACAGTTAAACTAGAAGACTAAAATAGGAATGCAAATAAGAGAGCACTTAACCTATTTTAAGGCTCCTGTACCTGACCCAGATGAATTATATTCTATGGAACTAAAAATTTGTATTTATCATTGAAGACCTAAGATCATTAAAAAAAAAAAAATGGCATATAGGATGTGTTGAGTTGGAGATGGACAAATATCTTGCCTTATTAAAAAATGGATACAGGTCGTTAACACTTGACATTTATTTCTAGAAATTTCTGAAGCAGATTATTAAATAGATGTTTTGTGAACATTCTGGGAGAGGGAAATGGCAAGCCCCAGAAATTAGTATGTGTTCAGTGGGAATGCGCCCTGCCTGATTAGCATGGTTTCTTTCTTTCTTTAGCAGAATTATTAAACCATTAAATTAAAGGAATGCATTGGTTATTAAATTGTAGGTGGATTTCAACAAGCTTTTGCCATATTCTCATAACATCCATGTAGACAAAATGGACATACGTGGCCTGGACTATAGTACTTTAAAAAAAAAAAAAAAAGATTTTATTATTTAGAGAGAGAGCACATGTGTGAGTAGAAGGAGGGGCTGAGGGAGATAGAGAAGTCCAAGCAGACTCCGTACTCATGGGGCTCGCTCTCACAACCCTGAGATCATTACCCTGAGATCATGACCTGCGCCGAAATCAAGAGTCCAACGTTCAACCAAGTGAGCCACCCAGGTGCCCCAATGGACTATATATAGTACTTTTAAGTGATCCATGGTTAGTTGAGTTTCTTTAGCCCAAGAGTATCTGTCTAACAAATGTATGTCATCCTGGAGGGAAATTTCTAGTGTTAGAGCATTTTTCTTGTTCTTATCCTGGTTAATTTTTTCATCATTAAGTTTGTAAGTAACTCTAACATTAGAGGTATAATTAATACTCTGGATGACAAAAATCAAGATTCAAAAGGTTAGACTAATAGATCAAAACCAATAAGATGGAGTTAATAGAAATATTGTAATTACAATTTAGATTTTTTTAAAAAATTGCACAAGTACAGAAGGGCAAGACCAGGCCTAACAGAGGAGCATGTGATTTTTTGTTAAAGTACATATGTGGAACTAGGGTCCTAGTTGACTGCAAAACTCAGTATGAGTCAGTGCTTTGAAGTGTGTGCCCAAAAAGGCAACACAGTCTTGACTATATTAATAGAAGTATAGTGTATGGATGAAGGAAGGCACTAATCCTCTGCATTCTTTCATTTTTCGCTGGTCAGGGCACATCTGGAGGTTGTGTTTAGTTCTGGGTACTCCATTTTAAGAGAGAATAAAAAGCAGCACACACCCAGGGGATGGCACCAGGATGCGGAATGGTTCATTTCTCTCCTTCATTCTTCAGGACTTTATTGAGTGTATTCTGTGTGCTCAACTTTGAGGTTGCCAGAATTGAGGATGTGTAGCTTATAAAAGAGACTTAGGGGGGAAATAACAGTTGAATTCAAAAATGCAAAATGTTTATTCTGGAACTCTGCCCATATTTAATTGGATTATTTAGGGTTTTTTGGTGTTGGGTTGTGTGAGTTCTTTATGTATTTTGGATATTAACCCCTTTTTGGATATATTATTTGCAAATACCTTCTCTCATTCAGTAGGTAGCCTTGTCGTTTTATTGATGATTTCCTTCTCTGCAAAAGCTTTTTATTTTAGTGTGTTACTAATAGTTTAATTTGCTTTCATTTCCCATGCCTGAGGAGACATATACAGAAAAATGTTTCTATGGCCAGTGTGAAAGAAATGACTGCCTATGTTTTCTTCTAGGGTTTTATAGTTTCAGGTCTCACATTTAGGTCTTTGGTACATTTTGAAAGAGATACGACCTAGTAACTTTAGTACTTCCTGTTAACTCCAGAGGGTAGAAGTAAGAACAATGACTAGAAGTTACAACGAGGCTGATTTTGGTTGCCCGTATTTAAGGAGCATCTCTAATAAATTGCAGTTATCCTTTTCAGGAATTAAGCAACTTCCCCAGAGTCACATTCCTAATTGGTGGCAGAGCTAAGATAAAAGCCCAACTTTCTGGATTCATGGACAAGAACCCTTGGCTCTGCCATGATGTTACTCAGGCGATTTCGACTCTGGGAGGAAGTGAGGTAGGGATCACCTGTTTCCTTCCAGTTATGAAGTTGTAATGTTCCCATAAGCCTTTTGCTATGCAGTGCTCCTTTTTGGCTCTCTGTTTTCATGTGTCAGTTGGTGAGATTATTGGAATAGATAACCTCTAAGGTTGAACAGATGATTTCTTTAACTTCCTTCTTCGATTCAGAATGCTTCAATTCTTAATGCATATTAGTTTTGTAGCTGTAACTTGTACGTTACTAATCAAAAACAAAAACTGTGGCTAGATATAGAAGTATGGAACTCAGATTCTTAAAGCATGGTGTTTAAGCAGTATGTAGTCTTCCCTTGAAGCACATGTTTTAAAGATGTGGATCCATGATTTAAAACATGAAAGCAAAAATCAAAGAAGAAACTGTGTAGACTCTATGAGCCGTTTTAGATTTCACAATAGTTATTGGGAAAAAGAAACAGGGGTTTCTTGCCCTTGAAGTTCATTTCCTCCCCATTCTTCTCCCCCACACAAGGCAGGAAAGTATCATGACCTAGATACATAGTCAGAGGGCAACAATGCTGAACTTTCTCAGACACAGCTGAGTAACCTGGGCCTGGCCAGTTCTAGGACTGAGAAGGCTAGAGCCGAGAGCTGACAAGGAGGAACTGTCTGTAAACATGAGAAGGGGCCATGGCAGGAAGGCAGAGGCCTAGGAAAGGAATCAGAGGGACGAGAAGTGTTACTTTTATCAGGTGTGAAATTGGCAAAAACAGCTTGTTTAATGGGAAATGCCCTGGATCCACATCATCATCCTCAAGATCGCCTTTCTCTCCACCCTCTGCGTTGGGGCTACCGATTTAATGAGCAAATACTTGTAGGACTGTGCTAGGACTATGGGTACAGAACACAATGTTCATGGTTTATGCCATTGTAAACATTTTACAGGGTACTTGGGGGTGGGTGGAGGTGGGGAGTGTTTCCAGGAGGCTAAAAATGTAGCTTGGGCTTTTTCCCCCTTTCTTGGAACTCCTAATTCCTTATACTATGTCACTGTTTTTCTAGCTATTTTTAAACTTCAACCCACAGTAAGAAATACATTTACATCATGACCCACTGTGACCACATGGTACATGCACGCACACACAAATACACATCCGATAGATACATATAGACATCCATGTATGAAACAGAAGGGTCCCGAAACATGAGATACACGTTCATGTTTTCTCATTTTTCCTACTTAGATGTTGTTAAATGTCACAAACCACAAAGTTGAGCGCATGGCCACCTCTAATGCTGTTCAGCCCACAATTTGAGAAATAGTGTGCTACAGCCACAAGTATTGAAATGACTGGAAATGGCCCAACACATGGCATCCAATACCCTAGTCTAAGGCAGTGATTCCCAACTGGGGATGATTTTGCCTCTCGGAGGACACACAGCAATGTCTGGAAACATCTTTGATTGTCACAAAAGAGGTACCTGGGACTGCTGGAATGCTGCTAACCACTTTACAGTGCGCAGGACAGCCCCCCACAACAAGGAATTAGCAGTCCAAAATGTCAGTAGTGCCAAGGTTGGAAAACCCTACTCTAAGGGTAATAAAATGAGTTGACACTTCTAATCTACTGTAAACCTGTTCAGAATGGTAGGAGCTGTAACCTGATCTTCTTTTACTCTCTCTTTTTCTTTGAACTGTATTTGGTACATTAAAGTGATGTGGAAGTGTAATTGCCCTTGGGTTGCCCACAGACATAGCCGGGTGGATAAAAAGGGTATGAGGAATAAGTCTGTTGTTTTCTTTCATCTGGACTGCACCAGGCATTTTTGTTAGAAGATTGTTACTGCTGTTAGGAATATTTTCTGTGTTATGACTTCGCTGTCCTCCCCATTAGACCAACTAATTCAGGGCCCCTTCTCACTTAGCCATAGCAGCTCTTAGGAAAGAAGTGAAGGGACAGTGGCTAATTAGATTAGACACGGTCCCTATAAAGCTTTCTCCCCCTACTCATGAGATTTGATTCTGTTGTTTTGATGGGAAATGACCTTCTGCTAACCTTGAGGTGCCATCTTAAGCCCTAGCATTGAACTGTCTCCTTTTTAGCCACTGCTTCATTCCTCTATCTGTAGCTATTTCAGACCAGGTTCTTGTGAACACGGACTAGACATTCACTCCCAGTGTAGTGGAGAGCTGTAATGTCCACGTCCTCCCTCCTTCCATGTCTGGCATCAAGAGAAGCTCTTGGACATCTCAGTGTCAATCTATTGTTGCTTTTTTCTCATTTTATTGGCTATTTCTGGGCCCACTAGTAAGGCTGCCATGTGCCCTGACTCATTCAGAGACAGCCTGACAGAACAGACCTGGTTTGGCTTTTTTCCTTCTTCTCCTAATGGGGAAAAAAGGTAGGACGGCAGAAGGAGATAGCTCTGAATCAAATATCAGAACTGGAATAGTAGTAGAAAATAAAACCAATGCTATTTGTGGCTATTCTCTACCGTATTTATTTTAGTGTATTTATCTCATGAGTATTGAATTACATAAACAATAACTTTTGTATTTGGTAAACGAATTCTTATAAATAATTTACAATAAATCAAGGGATGTGTGCGTGTGTGTCCACCTTGAAACTTTAGATTTCTGTGAGCACATAATAGTAAGGAGTACCAGCAGATTCCAGAAATTGATAGTGGCAAAGCGCCCGTGGTACGTTGGACTTCAGACACATGCATTCCATTCCTTTTGCTTCAAGAGAGCTATAGGGACACAGATTTCTTTTTAACTTTCCCACTTGTAGGTTAAGAATAGAAAGACAACACGTGGAATAGAGAGATGAAGGGAACTAATAAGAAGCTAAGGCGTCAGTCTCTTTTTTAATTTACCAATGTTAATCTCTTCGCCTTCTCTACTCTAACCCAATTTCAGTGAACTGAGCAGGATGAAGGGAGTTAGTAAGGCTAGATAAAGCACTGTGGTGGGATGTGTGGAGCTCCACTCTGGAGAAGGATGATAGAAGAAAAGGAAGGGAAAATGGGGATGGAAGGGGGAGAAGAGCTCATTGGATGAAGAAATCCCTGCCCTCTTCCTTGTCATCAGTTGTTGGTTCTATGCTAGGTTTAGGCAAGGCAAATAATATGGGAGCCCCGAGTCTGGCCATTTACAACTTTAAAAAGGCATTTTGTGGAATAACAAAAAATGTCTTGGAAATTGTTCTAAAGCTCACAGATTCTTTCTATTTTGTCTGAGGGGCAGGGCAGTTTGGGTGGTGGAAGTAGTTGGCCCTGGTCGTTTTCTTGGTTTGGGCTGTATCATTTTTTCCTTCCGCTTTGGGATGCTCATCATTTGTAATGAGATAGCATACCTCAGAAGTTCTGTGAGCTAGAACTGCTGCCCTGCCTCTTTTCCACAGGCTGCCTGGGGCTAGGAAATGAAACCTGCCTAACCCCAGATGTCCAGGAGAAAGCCTCTGTGTTCGTGGAGGAGGAAGGGTGGGAGGAACCTGGGCAAGAGGAGAATCCTGAAAAGGGTGAATGTTTAAATCTGCATGGTACCAGCGTGTGTGATTGGCGTCTTTCACCTTTGGGGTATAGAGAAGAGTAAGGGTAACAGAAACCACAGCAGCTCATGGGTAGAAACCACAGCAGCTCATGGGTAGAAGCCACTTTCTACATTATGTGCCTCTTTTTAGACATGTAGTTTGTTTCATTGCCACCAGTTTTCGCAAGTCTTATATTTTCTTAGGTTTCTTATGTTCCTTACATTCCTGGGACCTACTCTCCTAGGGCCTTCTGTTGATCAGTTCTGTGCCTCAGGATTTATAGTGCTTGACAGTTCCTTTATCAGCAGCTGACATTTACTTGGAGGCTTGAGTTCTGTCTGTCTGTTCTGCTTAACTCCCGCAACTTGGCTTGACTCACTGACTCACCCTCATCATCAAAGGGCTTATTTTTACTTTCCCTACTTTGGTTCTTCTTCCCAACATTCCCATTTTAGAGTTTAATAAGCTGTCGTCCTGTAGATTTGTATACATTTATACATTCATGTTTTGCCACATGCTAAAATTTGTTTTGCACCCAGCTGGTGTGCTTGAGTCACCAAGTCACAATGGAAGAGAACAAAGAGGACATCCTTGGCATGATGCCGCACAGGGGCCTGTTCCTATCCCGTGAATTAACAGTAGTTCACAACGGTCAGTCTCCTCTCTTGTAAGATGCCCAGAAGGTGACTGAAGTACCCAGATTTACTGGTGACTGTTCTGCTCTGAGAAGGATTGAGTGGATGCTGAGGTGCCTCTGAAGAGTGGGGTCACAGGCGTCAGTGGCCCCAGAGGACAAGAATCAGGGCACACTGGCTTATGTGCAAATGCGAATGAGAAACTGAGCTAGAACTAATTCCAGCTGAAGGGTTCTGGTGTAAGGTTCTCCTGACTTTGGAGGAGTTCAAGATTTTGGCTTTCAGGTGTTCGCCCCCTCCCTCCAGTCACTCGGATGAGACCCTGGTACACATCCTTCACCTTAGCAGAAGTCACACAAGCATTTATGGCTTGAGATGAAGAACGAGAGTTGGGTCACTTGATCCCCTGCAGAGAATCTGATGAGGGCATTGCACCTCCCTTTGCTGACCCTCTTCTATAAACAGGAACAGAAATTCTTGCTACTGGATCCCTTTCATCAGGCGTCTTAGGCTCGCTGAATGAAAAGCCCTATAAAAAGGAGATGTGGCCCTAATAATAACAAATACGATCGTGATGGCTATTTTGGGCAAGAGCAGCTTTGTGCCGCTCTTGATCTCCATCGGTGTCTGCCATTCCTGCCCTGCCATTACCTTTCAGACTTCCTATTCTTAGAATCCTTTGTGAGCCCTCAGCTTGGGGGATTGCAGCCCCCAAGGCTGGAATGCCTAGCTTGAGAGGAATGCAGACTGTCTGGCAGAGTGGAGGTTAAATAAAGTTTGCCTTGGCAGCCCCCTCTGCTCTTGGATGGGCGACAAGTAACTTGGGTATAGGAGCAATGGCATGGACTGCCATGTGGTTCAGTACCAAACAGAGTAGACATGGTTGATGGTCCGTTCGTTATAGGCGGAGCCCTGCCAGTCTCAGCCCTGCTATGTACTAAAGAGGCCTGGGCAGCCTTGAACCTCAGCTAGTAACCATATCACTCTGAAAACATGCAGGAACAAATAAAGAATGAAAGTGAAAATGCCTTGCAGGAACTGCAGATTTGGTATGTTTGCCCCCTCAGAGTTATTGCCTCATTTATTGAATGTGAGATAAAGGAGGAAATTTTCATTGTAATAAGAACAATTGCTAGTCAGTCAACAAACATTTCTTGAGCACCAAGGCACTGTGGGAAACTTTTTAAAAGTGTAAGACCTAGAATTCTTGTGATGCTTATTATTTAGTTGGAAAAGTAGAGCGGTAAACATATGAGGAAATAATTTATATTCCAAAGTGAAATATGAGTTCCAAACGTGTGCAATAGAACTAAGTGCCAGAGGAGGTCTGAGGGGAGAAAGAGGAGCACTTCTGGCTAGAATGATCAAGAAGAATTTTGTGGAGGAGGTGGGGCTCAACAGGTCTTGAGAGAATGGCAGACTTCTACTGGAAAGAAGAGGGCCTTGTCAGTGAGAGGACTTTTATGAGCAAAGGACAGATGAAGGGCACTCTCAGAACAGCTCATGGGGACGTGAAGAGCAGCTGGGTATGGACAGGGTGGCAAAGCAGAAGGATTTGTGTAAAATCACCAAACCCTTAACTCTGAAGGCTATGTGTGCACATTGCTGAGAGGACAGTGCTTCCCACCAGAGGATAGTTGGCAAGCTCCAGTCCCGCCCAGAGACAGGGGCCCTTCTAGTGCTCTGTTTTGTGAAACCCCTGATACAACATGGAGCTCCTAGTAGACAGTAAATAACAAATTATTATTATTACTCATCTTCAAATTCTCTGGTCCCAAGTTGTCGAATTGGCTTGATGTCACTTGTGAGAGTTGGCACTCCCTTTGCTTTGCCCTGTTCTGATTGCTCACCTGCCTTGCCACAGTCTTGCCTTCAGATTTATCTGACCTTTCTCCTCTCTTCCACCACAGGTGGCTAGAGGTGCAGGTGGCTAATCTAACATGTCCACAGCGCTGGGTGCAGAACCTCCGACTTCTTCAGGAGTCCATCTGGCCTGGTGGTATTTTACCGAAGTGTCCACGGCCTGTGAGGACCCAGGAGCAGAAAGTGGCTGCTGAAAAACAGGCCTTGCAGAGCCTCATGGGAATCTTGCCAGGTAATTGGACAATGAGATTGGTTATACTGATAATTATTCCTTTCCCATCCTGCTTTGCCACCATTACCCCACACCCCTCAAAAACCTGGACTCAAAAACCTGTCGACCCACCATTTCTCAGGCTAATAGGTAAATGATCAGAGCTGTGATTCTTTTACCCCTCATTCAGGTGATGCTGAGGGAATGGAAAGGATCACTATGACCACACCATAAATAGTAGGTGAGAATCCTGCAGATACTTGGAGTAATAACAGCTCTGCCTACACCACAGAGGCAGGTCTCAGAACTCTTCCCACCAGAGGAAGATTTCAGGTTCTCTGCCAACTCATGGTAGTTAGACCAGGGAAGAAAATGATATGTCCCACAGAAGTTCAGCCTTGATAAATTGGGGTCATTGAATAAGGTATATCATCCTTAGCAGTAGATAAAAACAAACTCTGAAGAGGATTTTTTTTTTCTTTACTTTCTATACATTTTTAGAAGGTAGGGAAGGCAGTTTGTTACCTGTGGCTGTGCTATAGTAATGAGGGTACAGCAGTGAACTGTTAGCTCTTAGGACAACATTATATACTCTTTGTTTTCTGTTGTATTTATTTTTTTATTTAAATTTAACTAATTAACATATAGTGTATTATTAGTTTCAAATGTGGAATTCAGTGAGTCATCAGTTGCATAGAACACCCAGTGTTCATTACATCCCGTGCCCTCCTTAATGCCCATCAGACAGTTGCCCCGTCCCCCCACCCCCCCAGCAACTCTCAGTTTGTTTCCTGTGATTAAGAGTCTCTTATGGTTTGTCTCACTCTCTAATTTCGTCTTGTTTTGTTTTTCCCTCCCTTCCCCTATGCTCCTCTGTTTAGTTTCTTAAATTCTACATATGAGTGAGATCATATGATAATTGTTTTTTTCTGATTGGCTTATTTCACTTAGCATAATACCCTCTAGTTCCTTATATACTCTTATCAACCCCCGTTCTCCACCCTAAACTGTTACATCAGATGTACCTGCAGTGACAGGTTACAGAATTATTTCCTCAGGTCCATTCTTATTTAAACACTTAAGAAACATTTTTCTTAGCTTTTCCCTGTTTTAGTTTGGCTATGTGGTTCAGAAGTTTGCCAGAAATACCCAATTTGGACAAAGATAGCAGATACCACAAGATAATCTCCTTAGAATCTAAGGCTTCAGTGGTAACACTGCAACCACATGCTTATTTTTCCTCTTCAGATATTGTGGTAGAAATCCTTGGGGTGAACAGATGCCGGCTGAGCTGGAGTCTCGTCTTGGAGTCGCTACAGCAACCCCTCATCAACAGGTAGGCTGAAAGGCATGTACGCAGCATCTCCACAGCTGAAGCTGTCTCTGGTCTCAGAGGTGTCCACGGTTTCTAAGTGAGCAGCGCACACTGAGACGAATGGAACTGCAGTCTTTCTCTGCCCTGGGCCCTGACTGCAGAGTGTGATGCCCGGGTCCGCACACACGAAGGAAAACCCACACTGCCTGCTTCTGAGCAGGTTCTCATGCAGCAGTGAGCCGGTGTTGGGCCCGCCACTGTTGGCATGTGGAAGAACTCGATGCAGGCCCCCATGTGAGCCACTGAAAACGTCCTGTCACCCTCCAGGCTTATTCAGTGCGCTTAACACTTCTTTCAACATGTGCCAGCCCCTGTGAACACTGTATACCACTGTGTATACCTGGCCTGTATACCACAGGCTGGATAATGATTTTCAGCTCAACATTCAAGGCCTCACAGCAAAGCTGATTTAGCGTTAGAATCAGGAATTGTCTTTGCTTAATAGGAAGGAGACAAGATAATGAGGTTGAGCTCCGATAAAAGGACTGGAAATAACTGAGTGAACACCGCTAAAATAATCCAGAAGAAGTAGGTATTTCCCTGGCTGGTACCTTGGGATACAGTGCTTCTGAAAAGTATTCAGGACTTGCAGTCCTTTCTCAAACCCTGTCCCGAAGCAGACTATATCTATTCACCATCACTACCCAAGGGTGCTGGCTTTTGCTTCACTGCCTGTCACCTGTGGATCTGTGACGATTAATTACGAGAAATAGCCATAGTCAGAAGCTCTGAAAATTCTTAGTAAGTTGATATCACAGGGATTTTTTCCCTCCCTCACAGTTCTTCAGGGCAGTGCTGATGTGCTAAGGTAGCTATATAAATAAATGTAGAATTTCCTAAAATCTAGTCTCAAGTTCTATTTCCACCTTTATTGGGGTCATAACCTTTAGTCACCAAACTTTTATTTCATGGCAGAGCCTTCATCTGGCTACTGAAATTTAGAGTTCACTAAGGATATCAGTAATGGGCAAGGAGGGGAAGGGAAAATAAATGTCATAAACAGGATCTGGTGTCTGTTGACTAAGCCAGACCCTCCTCTAAGTTGTTTTGTCCATTTGTTTCAGGCACTTGATTTACTGCCTTTGGGACATCATCCTGGAATTCTTGGATCTCAGTGCCTCCGTTGAGGAGTCTACCGTAACCACCTCTGCCTCAGATACCCCAGGCAACCCCAAGAGAATGGGCGTCTCCCCTTAGCCATAGGTCATTCACCCATTCTTTGAAGGCTGGGAAAGGAGAGTTGCTCTGCCACCCCGCGACCAGTCAGGAACCTGTGCCCTCTGCAGCTGAACTGTAGCTCAGAAGACCTCGGGTCCCAGGGGCACAGTTCTCCCCCAGCTCTACTCCACAGAGCAGGCGACCTAGCAGATGATGGGGGAAATATGTACCAATCATATGCATATCCATTTCCATACTTTTTCTGTGGTGTTTGGATTGTTGCTGGTGGGTAGATCCTGGAAAAGGAATCTGTAAGGTAGAAGAATGAGCCCCTTTTGCCTCTCCTTTGCCCTCCTCCCTAAGATTGTTTGCCAGGAGCCTGGTCCTGTGCATACATGTTCCTAATCCTCCAACACACAAGCTGTAGATAGACCAAGTGAAAACTGATAGCCAGATTTCTTAGAGGAGCAGACAATTTTCTAGAGCTCTCTGTTCCCACCAGGAAACTGCAGATTCATTCAGGACCACTCTTGAAAGCCAGACCCCCCACGTTCTGTCTAGTTTCCCAACAATTCCAGAAGAAGGAAGGAAAACATTTCTCAAGGGACTTTTTGCTGATTGACTATTTTCCAACACATCAGCCCTATGGAGGATGTCACTGAAGGCTGCTTCCCTGGGTGGCTACACTTTTTCTGTGCAGAAGACTTCAAAGCAGATTGCCAAAGCTTCTTGGTAGATCCACCCCACTCTCCACACCCTTTCCTGAAAGAGAGTTGCATCACAGATTTTATTTATTCGCTTTCCTCCTAACCCTTCTCCAAGAGCAGTTGAGTTTTGGTCTTTATGACCTTCCCTCTATCTCCCTTCAGCAGAATCGCCTGGCGGATTGCTTATTCAGCCCAGTGCTTCCAAAGGGAATGGAGACGCTTGCTCTGTGGCTGGGAATGCCCAAAGAGTAGGAAACCCAGGGGGCTGTGGGGCTTCTCTCTTCACAAGTCTCCAGCAGGGGACTTTTAAACTGAACCGATAATATTAGCAAACCTGCAGGGAATTGATTACCCACAAAAAGCTTTTTACTTCCTGTTCTTTAAGGATCTAATGAGTCTTTAAGAACACTTGAAGATGAAGGCGAAGGTGCTATATCAGGCTGTAGTGTCTTAGAAGAATAGAACAATTAGGAGAACTTGTTGGTAGGAAAGGAGGCAGACAGTGGTGACAAGGGAAGTGCTATACATTAAATGCATGTGAGTAGCTGACAGAAAAGGTTTAAGGAGGTCATGGGAGACCCTTGCCTTGTGCCCCTCATCCCGTTAGCTTTGCACCTGCCTATTAGTGCCCTTCTGTCACTGAATCATGGATCCTCCCATTTGGAGGGGGATCTTGGACTTAGACTGGACTTAGACTGATGAGAATGGGATGGGTCTAGAATGGGCATCAGGTTCTCAGACTCTGACATAGATGATGTGCACACAAAGTGGTTTATGGGAGAAAATTGTGCAGTCTTACACTTTTTTTACTCCTCTGGAGGCTTTTACCCATAAAATGTGTTATGCTATGATTGGAAGGCTTTAGGTAGGCGATTACTGCCTAAGGACAAGATGAATGAGATCATGTCTCATGGTACCTTCTAGCCTTAAAATATGATTTTTACAGCGACTTTATGGCTTCAGAGCTTCTCCCACCCCGGACATTCACAGGCAGAAGGAGCGCAGCATTTCTAGCTTTAGTAAGTATTTGCAGGAGTGTGGGACTGCAGGGAGTCCAGCCTCACTGAAGCCGATCCTTCACCTTTTTCAGCTCGGGCCAGGATGCTCTTCGGGATAGATGCAGTAGCCAGCTCATTTCCACTACCCTTCTCTTCTGATACTTTACCCTCATATGTACTTAGCCACCTACATTGCTTTGAATCTCTGCTATTAGGGCTCAGATGTCACACAGAGCCAGTACGTAAACTGACGCACCATAAAATCCCCGTGGCTATAAATTCTGAGCAATTTTTGACACTTCCAACCCAAAGAAAACTTCCTTATATTTCATGTTGTGTAAGAGATGCCACCTCTGTGGTCTGTGCCCCAAAACATAATCTGTCCTCGGGCCCTCCTTCTGTCTAGAAGGGAAATCATGGATATCGCCAAGGAAATAGTCAAGTTTGGGTAGCAGGCACAGACAACAAGGGAGATCAGCACTTGGGAGAGAGCCACAGGTATTAAGAAAAGATGCTCCCAGCTGAGAAGTGATAAAAGGCAATGAAGAATCAGGCCTGCACTAACCCAGAACATTCGTGATTTTTCTTTGGCCCTACCCAGCACATTCATTTCCAGTTGCTACTCTTTTCTTTGTTTATAGCACCCAACAACAGTTGTTAGGTCCTAGGTGGAGTAAAAATATGTGTATATGGTTATATGAGTCAGGATGCTTTGGACTGAAGGAAAACTCGAAGGGAATTTTGTTTTCTTTCAAAAATGAGTACCTGAGTAGGTAAGCCCCAGGGGCGGATGGATTCAGCAACTCTGACCTCATAAAGGGCCCAGATTCTTCCCATCTTTCCCCTCTGCTGTTGTAAACATGCTTGTGTAAACATGCTTGTCCGGTTCTCAGACTGCCTACCTGGTTGCTGCAGTTCGGAGCATCACATTCATATGTAACAGTATGAAAGAACAGAGTCATCTCTTCCATGTTTTCTTTTAAAGAATGAGGAAACCTTTTTCCAGAAACCCTTCAAGAATGCTCTTCTCATGACTCATTGGCCAGAACTGTGCATCCCTAAGCCAATCTATTGAAAATGGCATTACCTGGTTGGCTTGCACTAGTATTTACCCCCTTCCCCCACAGAGAGGAGGTCACGCTCCAGGAAAGTTAGATACCTAAAAAAATTAGATGTTAGCAAGGAAGAAGCAGAGGATGGGTGTTAATAGACAATGTCTGTTACATCATCTGTACAACATCAACAGATCCCCCATGGTACTCTAAAAATACCTGGAATCGGCTAAGAACATTTGCTGAAGGCACCACATGAAGCACTTCACCTGGAGTAACTCATTTAACCCATACACAGCCCTGTAAGGTAGGTTCTATTATCTATCCCCATTTCATAGATGAGGAACACAAGGCACAGAGAGATTGTGAGTTGCCCACAGTCACTTGCAAAGAAATGGCAGAGCCTGGATACAAATCTTGCCAGTCTACCCTCAAGCCTACATGCATAATAACCATTATACTAGTCTGTGTTTCTTCTCAGAATAAGATCAGGTTCTCATTTTTAAGGAGCTCACGATCTAGTGCAGAAGTTCGCAGACTTTTTTGGTAAAGGGGCAGAGAATAAATAGTCCAGGCTTGGCCATATGGTGGTCTCTGTTGCAACTCAGCTCTTCCATTGTAGCATGAAAGCAGTCATAGACAATACATAGAGCAATGACTGTGGCTGTGTTCCAACAAAATTGTGTTTGCAGAAACAGGCAGCTGACCAGATTTAGCCCATGAGTTGTTTGCAGGCCTCTTTCTAAGGAGTTAGAACAGTGCTTTTCAAACTTTAGTGTACATGTGATTTACCTGGGACCGTGGTAAAGCATATGCTGCATTTCTAACAAGCTCCCAGATGTATGCCAATGAGAATACAGATCTTCAACCACACCTTGAGTATCAAGGGGTTAAAACATAGACAACTCTCAAGTGTGATTAATACACTATTAAATATATAGGAAGGGCACTTCATTGAGAGTAGAGGGCCATGGAAAGCCTGAGGTGATAATATGTGAATTGACTCCTGGAAGATTCATGAGAATTAACCAGTAAAAACATGGGGAGGGTGTCCAGAGAAACAGTGAACAATGTGTGCAAAGACAGAGTCGCCACAGAAAGACAAATACTGTATGATTCCACATATCTGAAGTACCTAGCATGGTCAACCTCACAGAAACAGTAGAAATATGGTTGTTGGGAATTAGGGGAATGGGGAGCATGTAATGGGTACCGAGTTTCAATTTTGCCAAGTGAAAACAGATTCCTGTTTTATCAACCGTGTAAGTAGACGTGACACTCCAGAGCTGTACACTGAAAATAGTGAAGATGGCGAATTGTAGATTCTGTTTATTGTACTACAATCAAGACATGTAAAATGAATAAAAGCTGTGGAGAACTACAAGGCACAGGCTGCAGGGAAGGAGGGACAAGGGCCGGGAGAGGGGCCTGTCTGGGGCGGCGTGCTAAGGAAGCTGGCACTGTTCTTCCTCTCCGCAGTGGGGAATTGTTGAGGAACCTTACTGAAGAGTATTTTTCATTGAAGTTAACAGTGCCTGCTTATGGGAAACATGGGAGTTCGATTGCACATGTAAACAGCCGTTGGATTTGACACCTGTCTCAGTCACTTTCTGATCCCCCCCACCTTAATTTCTTCAAGTCTGTTCCCATTATTTCTTAAATATGAGATGGCTTCAGTGTCTATAGAGTATAATGAGCTGGAAGCAATAACAGCCTGATTGAAACCCTAGCTCTGCCACTTAATCAGCTGTGAGGAAGTGGTCAGGTAACTTAGCTTCATTGGGACTTAACATTTCTCTCTTAGAAAAAGGGACAAATATATTACGACCGTTTTGAGAAGTGAATCGTAAGAACAAGCTTTATAAAATAGCAAGTGCTATGCTATAAAAATGTCCATGGCAGCATTCTCCTGCTGTTCTGGAGATGCCTTGCTTCAGGAACCATGCAGCTGAGCTGTCCTCTGGCGAGCCCCGGTTGCCCAGCCCTCTCAGAACCTGCTGTTTGTCTTGGTCTTCCTTTGCACTGGAGCAATATGTGTTCTCCCAGGAGGAGGAAAGGAAGGTTGCCAACCCTGCTGGATACAGATGGGAATGCGAACCAACCAGGGGAAGAAAGGAAACCATGATGCTTTTGTAGCCCAAGGCCTGACTGGGCGAGCTCTTCCCTAACTTGGCGTCTCCGTTTCCTTTACACCGAGAGCGCCAGAACTCACTGGGCAGTAGCTGCCTGCACTGGTTCTGTGGGCAGGAGGGTGAAACCGCTGCAGGGTGCACTTCCGCTCACAAGCCTCCATCACTCCTCTGTGGCGTAAGGCACGAGAGCGGCTGCTTCGCACAGAACCGTTTCTCAGAAAAGAGCCAGTGAGGGGAGACCACCGAGTCTTACTTCCGTGTCCTGACTCGCCCGGTATTTCTTACACAAGGATGTCCCTGGCTCGTTTTAAAAAGAAAGACAAAACCCCAGAAGAATGTGTCAAGCAAGTGAAAGTCATCAGAGCCCGTTGCCTGCTGTGACCCAACAGCAACAGGGTTTGAAGCCAAGGCAGCACTGAAGTGGTGGAGGAAATGTGGGCACCACAGCCTCCTGGGCAGATACGCTGTGCAATTCTCAGACTTGCTGAGCCTTCTTGCCGCCTCCCTACACCTCTCACCTGTCTCTGGCCTGAAAGTACATTTGAACTCTGCTTTCTTAGAAGCGCAAACAAGCATGTGACAGAATCCCGAGAACTCCTGTCTCTGATGTCTCTTCCACATGACAAAAGCTGGTTTCTCTCCACATGTTGACTCTTCAAACCTCACCTACAAGTGCTTCAGTAGAAGTCACCACCACCCTGTTGCTGAGATGTGGAAGTTTGGGAGGGAAAAAAAAAATGAAAGGGGAAAAAATAATAGTATCAAAATCCAAACTTAGAAAACATTTCTTGAAGTGACATTATCTACTGCTTTCAACTCAAAATAGGCCACTTTGTCCCCAGAGTTTTGTTTAGGAAATGCAAGCTAATTTTAATATTAGGGTGTTGTAATGATTAAGAAGGTAAGTCTGTGTCCTATATCTAAATCCATACTTTGGCTCCTCTCCCCGCCCCCCGCCCCCGCCGGTCACTGTTGCAGCCTGTTACAAGCAGTGGAGAGCTGGCTATAATTACTTTCAGACACTTGGCGTTAATCAATGAGGGAAAAGGCCAAGTTAGATAAACCGAAAGTCTGTGATTGCAGAGAAAGGCTCTAGTATGTCTGCAGAAGCCGAGACTTCGCTGTTCTGGGTTGAATTGGATTTAGTGACCTTCAAGCTCAGGTCATCGGCCCTTCGCCTGTGCTCCTTAGTGAATCATCCTGCCCCAGTAGCAATGGAAAGATTAACAAAGATTTAGCAAAATATCTGCATTTCGTATCTTGCCTTTAGGGAGGATTGACCTTACTAAGAAAAAAAAAAAAAGCCCTTTTGGAGTTTACATTCTTTACCTGTACTAACATGGAATCCAAATTCAAAGAATGGCAAGCCAGTTCCTTTCCAGTTTTGTGTCCTTGTGTCAAAAGTTTGCCTGTAAATGCAAATAATTCAAGAATGCTGAGGGCACCTTTCATTAAGCCTTCCTGTGTCTCGGAGAGAGTCACGTAAGCTTGGTGGGCAGTAGGACTTTTGCTGGGAGACAGAATGTGTTATGGAGATGGTTTTGCAGAAGGTTGGATGAGATGGTTTCCCTGAAATCTAGGGGCCTGCGTCCTGCTCTTTCCTACTTCTTTCCTTTGACCCATGTTCTTCCAGCTGTGCACACGTGGGCACCCTCTGTAAGGGCCAGTTCAAGTTTCACCGTCTCCATGGAGCTTTATCTGACCGTGCCAGCCAAAATTCTCTCTCCTTCCTCTGTGTGACTTTACACTGCCTGTCAATGTGATCAAAATCCATGTGCATTTTATGGGGTCCTCAGTAAGAGATTCCAATTCTTCAAGGGCAAGGAACATACAATCTGTTTTATTCCCATTATAACCCTATTCCTCAACCTTCCCATAGACACACCTAATGCATAATGCATAGTAGGTACAAATAAATGCTGAAGTTCACTTAGTTAAAGGAGATTATGCTTATTAACTTTTAGAAGGTAAAATATGTTAATAAATTCAATGAATTTACTGGGGGCAGAAGATGTGTGAGAGGGACAAGGGGAAAGCACATTTTCGCTTTTCTGACCTTATATCTGTTCAGCAGCAAATATCAAATGAAAGAAGTTGGTTTTTATATTTCCTGTGCCAAAATCCACACCATTTTATAACAGTACTGTTTGCAGTCTAAGTATGTGGGCCGTGAGGTGCTAAAACTAAGCTTTTTAAAGAAAATTAGTCCGATTTGAAGATTTTTTTTTTTTTTAATCCTCCAGTCACGAAAATACACAACATACCCTGTCTACTCTCTACTCCTCACCTTTACCTACTGGATCAGAAAACAAAACAAAAATCTTTGGGAAATTTTATCAACTCTTTCCTGCCCCAGACACAAATTTGTAAGAAAGCAATTACCATGAAGAGAAAGGCTTGCTTGCTATCCAAATTCTTTAAAATTATCTTGGAAATCCTTTGGTCCCAGATTTAAGATTCTTTATTTCAGACCTTCTCTAACAGCTTATCTAAGCCATGTCCAAGATCCCACAAGCAAAACTCTTCAAACACAAAGGAATAACCTTGAAGAAAAGAAAGGACAGCAGAAATTCCCCCTCGCTCTTAAAGGTGTTTGCTGTCTTCCCCACATTTCCTACAACTCTTTGCCCAAACACAACAGATCAAAACTAGGCAGCTGCCATAAGAATGAAAACTAATGAACACATCTGGATTCGCTACAGGTCAACATGTTGGCCCCGGGGGGATAAAATCACGTGCTCTTTTGGAGCCCCAGAACGAGCCCCCGGGGCCATGATTTGAAAGAGGGCAACAGCAGGTAAAGGAGCACAGGAGGAAGTTCAGTCTGAGAATTAAACCAATGATGCATTTCATGAAAAGAAGGAAACTCTAGACAATATAGTGCTTGGGTCATATATTATCTTAGAGTAGGTCTGCTGTGAAGGATCCCATCTGCTGTGGAATGAAGTCCATTCTGGTGCCAGTGAACATTTGCACAACACATGATGTGGAATAGTCTCTGGAGCCAAGATCGGTTCCGTATCCACCCCAGGGCAGGTTGGTCAGTCTCCAGTGTAAACCTCCTTGGGATTAACCACTTATTCCAGTGTTGTGCACTGGCTAATTAATACCAGACCTGTTCCAGAAAGCTTTGTACATCCTGCATATGGATGAAGATCCAAAAAGTTTTTTTGGTGATCTGTTTGGATGGGTTAGAGAAAGCTGAAGCAGAAGTCATCCCCATGTACAGGTGGGTTACCTTGCAGATGGGGGCTTGTGGGGGGCAAATGACATTTACCAGGCAGAAGCTTGCCTGGACAGGTAAGAGGGGAGAAAAGGGTGCATGTGTGGATGCAGAAGTAACATCTGTGGCCTTAAGGCTTGAAGAGCAGGGCAATGCAACTTTTAGCAGTCTGAAGAGGATTGAGGCAAGAGCTTGTGTTTCAGCGAGGTTTTGGATATGGAAGAATGCCCACTGTTGGGGTGGAATGACCTGAATTCTTTACAAGATTAGGGTTTCTGTGGATTTTTCCCAAGTGATAGAAATTTTTCTCTTCTAGTCTCGTTGATAGCAGGCAGTGTTGGACCAATAGTTTGCCTAAACCAATTCCTTCTTTTTCTTTTTTTTTTCCAATTCCTCAATTCCTTCTCTATTATTTCTGAAACCCCACCTTTTTAAAAAATTTATTTAAGAGAAAGAGAGCATGAGTGGAGGGGAGGGGCAGAGGGAGAGGGAGAAGCAGACTCCCCGCTGAGCAGGGAGCCCGACACGGGGCTTGATCCCCGGACCCTGGATTGATGACCTGAGCCGAAGGCAGACGCTCAACCAACTGAGCCACCCAGGTGCCCCTCTGAGACCCTTTCCTTAAACACTAAGTAAATAAGGAAAAAAAAAAAACTTTTCAAAAAACTGCGTATTTCTGGGTCTTTTCTCTTTTTTGTGTGTGCAGCACCAATACTGCTTTTCTTCATCCTTAAATTTTTCTCCTGTATCAGTTTACGAATGTTCATGGGTTGGTTTGGCTTCCCCACTAGTCTAATTGTCTTTCTGATAAATTAATATGGACAGTAACTTAAGGTTACATGTAAATCTTAAACATGATATTTCTTGTACTTGACTCACATTTGATATTCTATGAGGAAGACTGCCCTTACTGTCCCCTCCTGTGAAATCGGAATAATCACCAATCCTAAGATTAAACATTTTGATAAATTCTTTCCATGTCCCAAGCTATTCACACAATGTTATAGACTAAATGTTTTGTCTGTCTAAC